TATATCAATCTTTATGTCTCGACCATTTCGAGACTCCTCGTCATGTCCGTGATCACATCCGGGACTCCGAACAAACTTCGGTACATCAAAACTTATAAACTCATAATAAAACTATCATCATAACGTTAAGCGTGCGGACCCTACGGGTTCGAGAACTATGTAGACATGACCTAGAACTATTCTCGGTCAATAACCAATAGCGGAACCTGGATGCCCATATTGGTTCCTACATATTCTACGAAGATCTTTATCGGTCAAACCGCATAACAACATACGTTGTTCCCTTTGTCATTGGTATGTTACTTGCCCGAGATTTGATCGTCGGTATCCAATACCTAGTTCAATCTCATTACCGGCAAGTCTCTTTACTCGTTACGTAATGCATCATCCCGTAACCAACTCATTGGTCACATTGCTTGCAAGGCTTATAGTGATGTGCATTACCGAGAGGGCCCAGAGATACCTCTCCGACAACCGGAGTGACAAAACCTAATCTCGAAATACGCCAACTCAACATGTACCTTCGGAGACACCTGTAGTACTCCTTTATAATCACCCAGTTACGTTGTGACGTTTGGTAGTACCCAAAGTGTTCCTCCGGTAAATGGGAGTTGCATAATCTCATAGTTACAGGAACATGTATAAGTCATGAAGAAAGCAATAACAATATACTAAACGATCAAGTGCTAGGCTAACGGAATGGGTCATGTCAATCACATCATTCTCCTAATGATGTGATCCCGTTAATCAAATGACAACACATGTCTATGGTTAGGAAACATAACCATCTTTGATTAATGAGCTAGTCAAGTAGAGGCATACTAGTGACTATATGTTTGTCTATGTATTCACACATGTATCATGTTTCCGGTTAATACAATTCTAGCATGAATAATAAACATTTATCATGATATGAGGAAATAAATAATAACTTTATTATTGCCTCTAGGGCATATTTCCTTCAGTAAAATCGTTCCAATTTCATATTAGCACTTTATATACTGTATTCCAACTTCACCATGGTTCATACCCCCCGATACTACCCATGGATTCATCAAAATAAGCGAACAACACATAGAAAACAGAATCTGTCAAAAACAGGACAGTTTGCAGTAATCTAGAAATTTAGTAAACTCTTGTAACTCCAAAAAATTCAAAAAAATATGAAAATTTAAACAATTTGTACAGAAGTAATGTGCAAAAAGTTTCAGACCCATTTTACTTTCCAGTAAGAAATGTAAATTCACGCGCTACAACCAAAGTTTCTGTTTTGTACTACACATAGTAAACAAGCATTCTAATCATCCTAAAACCAAAGTTTGGCACATTATTTTTATAATACAATGGGTATATACAAGGGGATAATTATTTACAGAGAAACTTCCATGAAAGTTTCTACATTGTTTCCATGAGCATGAACACAAGTGCTCAAGGTCGACCCTCACTTCTTCAATCCATAACTTTCCAATCACTTCTCTTTTGAAAAACTTTTTAGGCATATGAGGCAAGTGCATCTTTTTGTATTTTCATTTTTTGATTTTTTTTGTATGTTTCACCCATAACTAAGCAAAACTAAAAGGAAAAACAAAAACTACTTAGTGAAGAAAGCAAACAAGCACACACGATAATATCAACCCCACGCTATTGCTCCCCGGCAACGGCGCCAGAAAAGAGCTTGATAATCCCCAAGTGCAGGGAATCATCATAGCAATTTCCAAAGGTGGAAGTGATAAGCATGGAGTGTCGAAACCACAAGGAGCTAAAGGTAAGATCAATATTCTCTCAAGTCCTATCTGCCACTGATATGACTCTATGTACAACGAATGTTTGCTTCCAACTAGAAACGAGAAATAAAACTATATTGTGGGTATGAAGAGGATAACTTTGTATGATATCTTAGAGCTAAAATATAAAAGTAGTTGTTGTTATAATAGAGTTAGAATATATTACTTAAGTATTATAAATAGCGAGTTTGGAATAATGATGGGTTGGTGTGCGGAATTGTCCTGGCAATTGTTAACAATACCGGTAATCACTATTGCAATTTCATATGAGGGAGAGGCATAAGCTAACATACTTTCTCTTCTTGGATCATATGCACTTATGATTGGAACTCTAGCAAGCATCCGCAACTACTAAAGATCATTAAGGTAAAACCCAACCATAGCATTAACATATCAAGTCCCCTTTATCCCATACGCAACAACCCCCTTACTCGGGTTTATGTTTCTGTCACTCAAGCAACCCACTATAAGCGAATCATGAACGTATTGCAACACCCTACAACGGGAATCCCTCATGCTTGCACGACACGGAGGGCACAATAGGACAACACCAAAATAAAACATACAACTCATACCAATCTAGATCATCAATCAACCCAAAGACAAAGGATATCTACTCAAAACATCATAGGATGGCAACACATCATTGGATCATAATATGTGGCATAAAGCACCATGTTCAATTAGGGATTACAGCAGGGTGCGGGAGAGTGGACCGCGTAAAAGAGATGAGGATGGTGACGATCACTGCGGTGATGATTCCCCTCCCGATGGCACTCTAGCATCACCGAGAGAGAGAGGAGGAGAGGTTATCCCCTTGCGCTTCCTCCTCCATGGCCTCCCCCCTGGTTGGGGAGATGTTCCCCCTCTGGTCCTTGGCCTTCATGGCGATGATGGCCCCTCCAAGATCCTTCTCCATGGCCTCCGGTGATGATAGCCCCCTCCGGCAGGGTGCCAGAGAGGGCCTAGATTGATTTCTCATGGCTACAGAGGCTTGCGACAGTGGAACTTCCGATCTAGGTTATTTTCTGGAGGTTTGGGCATTTATAGGAGAGGTTGACATCGAGAACAAGTCAGGGCGCCCCACCGAGAGTCCACGAGGCAGGGGCGCGCCCTCCACCCTCGTGGGGCCCACGGGACTCCCCTCCAGTAACTCTTTGTTCCAGTATTTTTTATATTTTCCAGAAAAATTCTCTATTGATTTTCAGCGCATTCCGAGAACTTTTATTTCAGCACAAAAACAACACCGCGGTAGTTCTTCTGAAAACAACGCCAGTCCGGGTTAGTTCTAATCAAATCATACCAAAATCATATAAAACTATTGTAAACATGGCATAAATACTTCATAAATTATAAATACGGTGGAGACGTATCTGGGTGGCGGCTATTACAAGAACCGGACACTTTGATTGCGCGAGTATTGAAGGCTCGCTACTTCCCACACTGCTCGGCGTTAGAGGCATGTAGCAGAAGAGATATGGCATATACTTGGAGAAGTATCTTGAAAGGTATTGTTTTACTTAAGCAATGTATAGTGTGGAGGATTGGTACAGGGGACAATGTGCGCATTTGGGATGACCCATGGCTGCCTCGAGGGATCACTAGGAGGCCCCGTACGAACCGCACGGGGGTGCTGCTTGACAGAGTCTTTGAGTTGATGAACCCAGTTACTGAGAATTGGGATGAGGAACTAGTCTTAGACTTGTTCTGTCCTGAAGATGCGAGAGATATCCTTGCGATCCCAGTCCGAAGTGGGATGGAGGACCAGCCAGCTTGGCATTTTGATCCGAGGGGGATCTTCTCGGTAAAGTCAGCATACCACTTAGGGACCAGCTTGAGAGATGCAGCCCTCAACAGGGATGCAAGCTCGTCGATAGCGGCCATGCCGAAGGACGTGTAGAAATGGACTAAAATCTGGAGGCTGGAGCTCCCACCCAAAGTACGGATGTTTTTGTGGCATTTTGCACATAACTCTCTGCCGACGCGTATGAACATCAAGAGGAAACATGTCGAGTTGGATACCTGTTGTCCGGTATGCATGAGAATGGACGAGGATGGTGGTCATCTGTTTTTGAAGTGCAAACAGGTCAAAGCACCTCTGGAGAGAGTTACAACTCGAGGATGTGCGCACTTCTCTGCTAGAGTGTGCGAACCCCAGGATGATCTTTGAACGTGTGTGGTCCTTGGCACCATCACGACGCGATCTTGTGCTCATGCTGCTCTGGGAATGGTGGAACACCAGGAAGAAAGCAAATCAAGGGGAGAAGGTAAAGGCATGTGAGGCGATTGCTTACAATGTTCGAAGGCTGTGTGATGATTTCAGGGGGGGGGCGCGGGTACAACGGAGGCATCCGGTGGGCAGCCTACGGTTGCAGCATGGACTAGACCGACTGAAGGACAGGTTAAAGTTAACTTTGATGCGGCATTTTATGCTGAACAGGGAAGTGGAGCCTGGGGATGCGTTTCTAGATCGAGTCAAGGGGAGTTCATCGGAGCATGTGTGGGCAAACTTGAACATCTTGCTTCGCCACTCCATGCTGAAGCAATGGCGTGTGTGCAAGCCATTGAAGGTGTGGCGGAGATGGGTATTCACCAGGTGGTCTTCGAATCGGATTCCTTGCAGCTGGTAAACGCCATCAACTCTGGCGACCATGACCTCTCATTGATTGGAGTTCTGCTGCGTGATGTGCGTAACCTTTGTTATGCATCTCTTGATGCTTTTGAGTTTAAGCACTGTAAGCGGCTATGTAATAAGGTTGCTCATACCCTAACTGATTGGGGATTTCGAGCAAATGTGTCGTGTACTTGGTGGAAGGACCAAGCCCCAAGTTGCGTGTATGATCTGGTAGCCAGCGAGTCTGCTGAGCTTGGTTAAAGTAATGGAATGCATGTTCCAGTTTAAAAAAAAAACGGGTACGTTAGGACGTGCCCTTTGTATTTTCTTTTGAGGGGCCCTTTGTGCTAGGCTGCTAAAAAGCCCGGCCCGTGAGATGGGCTCTAGCGGACGCGGCAAGTTGGTCCAGGAGCGGCCGGCGACCCACATCGTGGTTCCCTTCTGCCACCTCAAGGCTCCATCCTCCAGCGCCGCCACACCAGGCGCTCGCTTTACCATCCTCCCCCAAGCCCCGGCGCGGCACCCTGTCGGTAGGCTGGTGCTCGTGCGCCGGTCGCGGCTCCTGAGGGCCTCCGACGAGGCGGAGCGGGCGAGAGAGCGCGATGGCGTCGCTGGGGCGGCTCAAGTCCGCCATCTTCGACAGGGAGGAGAGGAAGATGTAAGGATCTCTGGCGCGGCAACCGCCCCATCTCGTCGCGTCCCTCTCTTTACCTTCTCCGATTTATTACTCGTCGATTTGGTGCCTTCTATTATTTGATTTTTTTTTCTGCTGGAATCGGCTATAAAAACCCTAGCTTTTTTTATTCTAAATTCCGTGCTGTTAAGGCTGTTAACGAGAAATGCTCACATGGTTTAGTACTTTTAATTATTTGATGATACAATCCTCACATGGTTTAGTACTTTTAATTCTCGAGGATACACAACTAATCTCCCTGCAGAAGTAATGCTGTGTTTTACAATGTTCTGCACGGTTTGCTACTTCTTTTTATCCTGGTGATATGCAAAATAATTGTGTCCGTGAACTTTAATTTACTTCTTGGCCCATAATTGCCTTGTACTCCCTCTGTTCCTAAATATAAGACCTTTTAGAGATTCCACTATGGAGTACATACGGATGTATGTAGTCATATTCTAGAGTGTAGATTCATTCATTTTGCTCCGTATGTAGTACATCCGGATGTATGTAGTCATATTCTAGAGTGTAGATTCATTCATTTTGCTCTGTATGTAGTCTATATAGTGAAAAGGTCTTATATTATGTAACGGAGGTAGTACAAGTTAGAGTAGCCTAGTGTGCTAATCGAAGGCAATGGTTTTTGGCCGTTGAGTCTATCTTTTCGTTAGTTTGCTTGTGGTTCATAGGCTGCTCTGGATGTTGGATTGATGGATGCAGGCAGTACCAGTCGCACATCCAGGGGCTCAACGCATACGATCGCCATAAGAAGTTCATGAAGGATTACGGTATGATCTGTTGCTGCTGCTGTTTCCTGCAAAAGCATGCTGTTATTATCTTTGCCCCATTTTTTCTGATTGACTCTGGATTTATGTTGGTTATGGTTGACAAAAAAGGGTTTTGAATAAGATAGCATGGTAACGAAATCACGGGTTACGTAAACCAAATTATACTTGGTGGTGGGGGTTCAAAGAACAGGCAAGATTTGTAAATTGCAAGTCCACTAAAAACTTGCATTTCCGATGTAACTACACATACAAAATTGACCCTGCAAACTTCTTGTGCTTGTGTTATTACTAATTAGTTCAAGTGCTGACCTATGTATGGAATTCAGCATCCAACACACCACAACTACTATATATGCTTCTGGCTTTGTAATTGATCACAACCATTCATTGTGCTGGTGATCCTGCTTTAGAGTAGCTTTAAGTCTAATATATTTGTACCTTGTCTCAATGGTGAAACGGAAACTGGGGCACTGGCATATAACGAGTCATTTATTTGCTTAGTCTTGGTTTCCAAAAGGAACTGGATGTTGAACAGTCCCCTCTACTTAAGGAATAATTGGGGGCTACCTTCATCCATACATGGATTTTGTATTTCTATGTGTAACTTGTCACCTAGCTTAATACAGACAACATTCTAACATGGATTTTTAATATGGGATTTATATCTTTTGCCCAATGTCAACCATAGACAGGTCACATAACGACTCCCCCTTTTTGCTGATTGCTTCTGGAATTGTGTTGGTTCAGGTATTTATTTGTGGTTGAGCAAAATGGTTTGGGAATAAAATGGCATGGTAATGAATCATGAGTTAGGCAAGCCAAATTATAATTGTTAGCAATAATAGTGTTCAAAACAGTGGACACGTGTAAGTTGTAACTTTCAAGTATGCAAAAAACAGTTGCAGTTCTGCTGTAACTCCACATACAAACATAGCCATCGATTCTCCAAAATTTGTCCTGCAGCCTTCCCGTGCTCCTGTTATTTCTAGTTATCTCAAATGCTGAATTCTGTGTAGAAGTGAGCAACCATCACACTAGAATCTGGTTACCTGTGTAGGCTTCTGCCATTGTAGTTGATTACATTCATTCAGTATGCTGGTGAGCCTGCTTTAGTAGTACCTTTAATTGTGATATATTGTTACCTTGTCCCGATGTAAAGTGTGGATAGATGATTGAGTTGCCCTTTCATAGTGAAATGGAAACTGGGGCAATTGGCATATAATGAGCTATTTATTTGCTCAGCCTTGGTTTCCCAAAGAAACTGAATGATGAACAGTCCCCTCTACTTAAGGAATAATTGGGGGCTACCTTCATCCATACATGGATCGTGTATTTCTACTATAACTTGTTACCTAGCTTAATATAGATAACATTGTAATATGCATTTTTAACATAGGATTATGTCCTGGTCTCCAATATATTGATAACCAGTCCTGTGCAATGGTGCATTTTTTTTTGCCAAATGTCAACACATAGATAGATCATCGCTTCATTGCCAAACTTTTTTTTAATGCATCCCAATCTCACAAAATAGTGGAATGAAAGAATAGACCCCTTCGTTGTAGAAAGAATTGGAGATCAGACACTCAACCTTACAGTTCTTTTAACCTTAGCGTACATGATATCCATCATTCATTTTCTGTGTGCCACTGATATATGTCTTTACCTTTCAACAGTTCAGTTTTATGGCCATCAGAAAAATGTGGATAACAGTCTGCCCATCAAAACTGATAAAGATACATTGAGAGAAGGATACAGGTCTGAACCACATCCTATTAACATATGCCTGTGGTTTTAGGAAACTCATAATTTCATAAATGCCTCACTTTTCTTCTTCTATCATTTGAAAGGTTCATTCTTTCAGAGGAAGATGACATGGATTCAACTTGGGAGAAGAGGCTGGTCAAACGTTACTATGACAAGCTTTTTAAAGAGTATCCATTTTTAGTATATTTTATATTGCATTGTTCTTTCTACGAGGACATGTCAGTACATGGCATATTTTTCAGATAATTTTGTGAAATAACAAGTTCATGTATGCTGATGCTAATGTCATTACATATAGTTGTTTAATAGTTTGGTAATGTAAATAGGCATAAGGCATGTGAATGTATCTTAAACCTGTAAAGGGCATATATCTCTTGCTGTCCTCTGTATTGGTTTGATCTTCTGCATGAAGACTTAAGTGCTTCATGGTTTCACCTCAATGCCTCATGAACTTGTGCTTTCTCTCAGCCAGTATTGATCATTGCTTGTATAAATGGGAGCTGTATTTGATATATGTGCTGTTATTTGTAATTTTGTAAGATTTAGCTATAATGTACTTAGGGTCCTTAACTTGAGGCAGGTATTGCATTGCTGACATGACCCAGTATAAAAAATGCAAGGTATGGTGTCAATGAATACTGTTTCTTGATGTAAACATGTAGTTTCTCCTTTAGTCTTGAATCATATACAAAAGGAAGAATGCATGGCATGACTTTTTGAGGGACATCTAAAGGCAACAATAGGTGTCCTTCCAATTGTGATACTCTTGTGACCTTGATGAATTCATATTTCATAAAATTAATGCACATCGGGAATAACTAGAAAATTGTTTTTTTGGTTGTGAATCTGCATCAATATGCATATTGCAAGAACCATTTTGCCAACCTGCCCATTTTTCATATTATGTTCTGGCAGGCATGCACCCTTGTAACACAGAAGCGAACAACTATTAACGATATGGCAGTCGTGCATTTTCAGTGGCAGGATGATGAATGGATGCCCAACCAGTTTTTTTTCCTTCTAAAATCATCTGTAGTTTTGGATATGAATCCCATCTTACAAGGGTATATTCTCCTGCAGATTGGATTGAGATGGAGAACAGAAAAGGAAGTGATATCTGGCAAAGGTATTCTTAAGCAATCCTGTCTATTAATTTCCATCTAAAATCATTTTTCTGAAAAGTATGACTGAACTTAAATTGTATCAGTTTTCTGTTGCTAGTAACAGGCCATTCAGATGGAAGTCTAGAACTTAAAAGGGTATTTAAAGAAATTGTAATTAAACGTTACTGAGCTTAAAGCTTTATTTCTTTATACTATTAGGCATACTTTTCTTTTATTTAGCTGTATGTCTGAGTGCAGTTTGGGTGCTTGCACCAAATTACCACCAAACTCAAAAACAAATCATAACTGATTCTCTAGATTTTGGAAGCCATCATTGTAGTTCTCTTTTCTAATTATACTAAGGTGTTAGACAATGCAGAATTTGTTTTTTTTTTTCCTGAAAATTGTCTATTCGCTTAAACAGGATCAGACATTTCTTGTTCAGAATCAATACAAAATCTTTAGCAATGGTCAGAATATGCTCTTTTGCAGGGCAATTTATCTGTGGCAGTAGGCATTGTGATGAAAAACATGGGCTAGGTAGTTATGAGGTATGTTCTTGACTAAAATCCTATTGCTCATGCCAAAATGTGTAAAACACAAAACACATTTTATAAAGAACTGTTTCAGCTGTATTTGTAGTACTTACATTTTTCTCTTCATCATTTTCAGGTGAATTTTTCTTATGTTGAGGCAGGGGAGCAGAAACAAGCACTAGTGAAGCTGGTAGCTTGCAAGAGGTTAGTGAATCCACTGTTCCATAATAGGATTTGTTTGAACCAGATTTGGCACTGCTCTTTCTTACCATGATAGTTATATTTCTTTAACTTTCCCTTGGATCACTGAATCTTGCTTTGTCTTTTGTGCTTTCATTTTGTTCAAGCAAGTGCCCAATTTATTATTTAGCCTGATTGTAGTACATTATGAAAGATGTGCAGAAAAGCTTGCTTATAAGAGGCTGAAGGAGAAAGAGAAAGAGAAGGAGGAGGATCCCTACGGTGAAAAGGAAATTAAGTTGAAAGACAGGGACAAGAGAAAGAGGTATCTTAAGTTCTTGTTCTTGTCCAACCCCATTATTTTTCTTACACTACATTCTTTGACTCTGTTCAAACTGCAGAGAACATGAAGAAAGTGATGACACCTCTGAGGATGAGGCCAAGAAAGATCGAAGAAAGAAAAAAGGTATAGCTGATTGGATACGCCTTTTATATTGGTCATGTACTTTGTTGGGTTGGGGGGCAGGGGTCTAATGCTTAGTTAATGGCTTGCTTGGCTACTGTACTCCTCAGGCGGCCAAATCTCAAACAGGGTTTTTATAACATCCCTGTGGCCTATTGGCACCATCCTTTTTCCTGAAATCCGAACAACACTTTCAAGATATTTGGCACCTAAATGTTGAGTTCACTTGACTCAGGTTAGCTACTTAGCTGTGTGTGTGGTTTCCACCTGGAAATGGGCCGAGGTCACGGCTGATCTCAGACCTTGCAATTAAGGCCTATTTGGAACACAGATCTTGTGTTTATTCATGTACGCAAATGTCATGGCTCTGCGCTCAGTAGAACATATGCCTGCATTTGGCTCACCAGAACCTGTGACAGCCTTGGGCCTTGTCGATTATTCTGTGCTCATGCATGCATCTTGCTTTCGCTTGTTGGGGATTTAGGGATGCCATAGATTCCAGTGGCATGAAACTTACTCTAGCAAAAATGCTGCAGATCGGAAGGGAGCTTCTTCAAGGAGTTCAGGAAACAACGGTGAAGGTTTTGAAGAGTTCCTCGAAGGCATGTTCCCATGATCTGGTTATCTTAGTGGCCAGAAAAAGTTCTTCCATGCTCTTTCGGGGAAAAAAAGAGCACGGATCTTGTAACAAAGCCATTAGTAGTGGAGTAGCAAATCGTTGCAAATCCGACCCTTGATGTGCTTTGACTACAAGTCAATGTAGGCGCGCTATCTGTAATTATGTGTGCCCTTGTTTCATTTTCACATCGAGATGCCTGTTACTCTGTTAGTCAAAGAAAAGATGAATGTAACTACTCGTGGGTCTACTTTAGTGTTACACTGAAGGAGTGAAGGACAATTTCAGCAACATTGACTTCTGTATCTATATCAGTGTTCTGGCTGGAGAGGTTCGGTGATGAACTTCTGTATCTATAGCAGCTAGCCTGCCTAGTTTCAAACCCAAAAACAGTGATGAACTTGATATTGCATTTGCATTATACCTCGACAGTTGAAAAAAGGCAAATTGCAGCTTCCAGCTACTTATTTCTTATGAAGCAAAACACACACACACACACACACACACACACACACACACACACACACACACAATGTTACAAGCCCAACTCTGTAGAAACAGATGGATGAAAACGTTGGAGATTGTCGCATATGAAGGGAAGAAGCTTCCATCTTGGGTCACAAGAACGGAACCATATCTCAAGATCAAGCTTATTGATTCGAGATGATGTGAAAGAGGATTGCCTCGACTGGGACCGCTGCCATGTCTGGAGATGGTTGAGATAAGTGGAACTGAAACTGTGTGGTGCATCTCGTTCATTGGACAAACTGACTCTCCTGTATGCATAACCTTAGTCCGGGAACAGGCGTAGTGGTCACGGATGTTTACACGTCTTGCAGAATTGGCAATCATCCAATGCCCAAAACTGAGAGCATTGCACATGTAACTCCCATCACTTGACAAATTGATACTCTGGATGAATAACAAGATTTGTTGTAGACCTCAAAGGAGCCAAGACCTTGCAGCACATATCGATTTGCTTGAGTGAAGAGCTATCAGTAGAAAAACATAATGTAAAATGGACGTATCAGATGTGTCAATGGTGGCCTCAACGGTGAGGTGCTCCTCCAAGATCTGGCGGTCGGCACGCATGGCAGCCATTGCGATCTCATACGTGCGTGCGGCCGCGATTAGCTTCTCTACTGCCAGATGCTTCTTGAGCTCCTGGCTATATTGTGTGCAAAATGGCTATGGGCGGCGCTTATTTGGAGGATGGGCAGTGATTTAGGTGGAAGTTGTCGCGCCAACGATCGGGGCTTGTGGGATGAAGAAAGATGAGGAGGATGGGGGTTGGGTGTGGATTACCTAACTATATCGACGAGGCCGCGCAGCAGGAAGGAGCGTCGCCGGCGAGGAGGCAGCGCTGCAAGCCACCAGTGAAGTTTTGAACCAGGAAAGGAAGGAGAAAATAGTGGAAATATGGCTTTTGGTCGTGGGGAGGGGGCGGGAAGCTAGATATTTCCGCGGTTGCCAAATTTTTTTGCTCGGTGCAGCAAAAAACTGGCACGCAAGTGTGGTTGACGCGCGGGCAGTGGACTGTAGCCGACGAAGCTTCCGGCGTAAGCCATACATGAGGATGCCCCAAGATATTTTATACTGCATCGCACACGATTCTTATTAATAAACTGTTTGTGGTGTAGTTGAGTTTTTTTCATTCTGATTTGAAAGACAAAATGGGGTTACGGCAGTAAAGGACAGTGTTTGAATTGCTAGAACATTTATCTATAGTGAGCATGCAACTATATAAATGTCATATTAAAATTTGAAATTATTCAGGGTTCAATTGGCCTTTCTTATACATTAGTTGAGTTTTCTAGACATTTAATGTGCATAATTCAAATTTGAATTACAAGTACATGCTCTAGTGCATCAAAATGGGTTGAAAAATCATATATGTGTCCTTGTGTGAATATTTACGTCCCATGCAAGAAATGGTAATGAATTTCAAATATCTGGACGTCGTGGCTTACCCGAAAATATTGAGAAACTTGGTTTTAAATATTTTGTCAATACAAAATTCGCTCAAAAATCATGAAATTTGGCATGATGTCATGATATGGCACCAACATGTTGTGATGAAAAATTTGATCAATTTGGGACAAGTTTTGGTATAAGCTTCTTACAAACTGGAGCTTCTCTCAAGAAGCCTCATGGTTTCGAGAGGAAGTTGTCACCTCTATGTGCGAAGCGACATATGTTGCCTCTTCCTACCTTGATTTTTTTACAGAGGCAACATGCAACTATATGAGTGTCGTGTTAAAATTTGGAATTACTCAGGGGTTGTTTGGCCTTTTTATACATTAATTGAGTTTCTAGACATGTGCACAATTCAAATTTAAACTATATGCACATGCTCCTGTTGGGGAACGTTGCAGAAAATTAAAATTTTTCTACGGTTTCACCAAGATCCATCTATGAGTTCATCTAAGCAACGAGTCAAGGGAGTGAGTTTGCATCTACATACCACTTGTAGATTGTGTGCGGAAGCGTTCAAGGGGATGGTGATGATGGAGTCGTACTCGACGTGATTCGGATCACCGATGACCAAGTGCTGAACGGACAGCACCTTCGCGTTCAACACACGTACGGTACGGGCGACGTCTCCTCCGTCTTGATCCAGCAAGGAGGAAGGAGAGGTTGAGGAAGACAGCTCCAACGGCAGCACGACGGCGTGGTGTTGTTGGTGCAGCAGTACTCCGACAGGGCTTCGCCAAGCACGTACGGAGGAGGAGAGGTGTTGGGGAGGGGAGGGGAGGGGCTGCGCCTTGGCTTGTGGTGTGGCTGCCCTCCCCTCACCCCTCTATTTATAGGGGAAGGGGCAAGGGGGGCCGGCCCTCTAGGGGAAACCCTCGAGGGGGGCGGCGGCCAAAGGGAGAGGGGAAAGAGGGGAGGCTTGCCCCCCAAGCTAGGGGGCGCCCCCTTTAGGGTTTCCCCCTCCCATGCCTTAGCCGCATGGGCCTAGGTGGGGAGGCGCGCCCAGCCCACCAGGGGCTGGCTCCCTCTCCCACACAGCCCATGTGCCCCCCCGGGAGGGGTGGCCCCTCCCGGTGGACCCCCGGAACCCTTCTGGTGGCCCCGGTACAATACCGGTATGCCCCCGAAACTTTCCGGAGTCCGTTTAACAACTTTCCATATATAAATCTTTACCTCCGGACCATTCCGGAACTCCTCGTGACGTCCGGGATCTCATCCGGGACCCCGAACAACATTCGGTAATCACATACAAGTCTTCCTAATAACCCTAGCGTCACCGAACCTTAAGTGTGTAGACCCTACGGGTTCGGGAGACATGCAGACATGACCGAGATGCTCTCAGGTCAATAACCAACAGCGGGATCTGGATACCCATGTTGGCTTCCACATGCTCCTCGATGTTGTCATCGGATGAACCACGATGTCAAGGGTTCAAGCAACCCCGTATACTATTCCCTTTATCAGACGGTATGTTACTTGCCCGAGACTCGATCGTCGGTATCCCAATACCTCGTTCAGTCTCGTTACCGGCAAGTCACTTTACTCGTACCGTAATGCATGATCCCGTGACCAGACACTTGGCCACCTTGAGCTCATTATGATGATGCACTACCGAGTGGGCCCAGTGATACCTCTCCGTAACACGGAGTGACAAATCCCAGTCTCGATCCGTGTCAACCCAAGAGACACTTTCGGAGATACCTGTAATGCACCTTTATAGTCACCCAGTTACGTTGTGACATTTGGTACACCCAAAGCACTCCTACGGTATCCGGGAGTTACACGATCTCATGGTCTAAGGAAGAGATACTTGACATTGGAAAAGCTCTAGCAAACGAACTAACCGACCTTTGTGCTATGCTTAGGATTGGGTCTTGTCCATCACATCATTCTCCTAATGATGTGATCCCGTTATCAACGACATCCAATGTCCATAGCCAGGAAACCATGACTATCTGTTGATCACAACGAGCTAGTCAACTAGAGGCTCACTAGGGACATATTGTGGTCTATGTATTCACACGTGTATTACCATTTCCGGATAATACAGTTATAGCATGAATAAAAGACTATTATCATGAACAAAGAAATATAATAATAACACTTTTATTATTGCCTCTAGGGCATATTTCCAACAGTCTCCCACTTGCACTAGAGTCAATAATCTAGTTACATTGTGATGAATCGAACACCCATAGAGTTCTGGTGTTGATCATGTTTCGCTCGCGAGAGAGGTTTAGTCAACGGATCTGCGACATTCAGATCTGTATGTACTTTGCAAATTTCTATGTCTCCATCTTGAACATTCTCACGGATGGAGTTGAAACGACGTTTGATGTGCCTGGTCTTCTTGTGAAATCTGGGCTCCTTCGCAAGGGCAATAGCTCCAGTGTTGTCACCGAAGAGTTTGATCGGCCCCGACGCATTGGGTATGACTCCTAGGTCGGTGATGAACTCCTTCACCCAAATAGCTTCATGCGCTGCCTCCGAGGCTGCCATGTACTCCGCTTCACATGTAGATCCCGCCACCACGCTCTGCTTGCAGCTGCACCAACTTACTGCTCCACCATTCAACATATACACGTATCCGGTTTGTGACTTAGAGTCATCCAGATCTGTGTCGAAGCTAGCGTCGACGTAACCCTTTACGACGAGCTCTTCGTCACCTCCATAAACGAGAAACATGTCCTTTGTCCTTTTCAGGTACTTCAGGATATTCTTGACCGCTGTCCAGTGTTCCTTGCCGGGATTACTTTGGTACCTTCCTACCAAACTTACGGCAAGGTTTACATCAGGTCTGGTACACAACATGGCATACATAATAGATCCTATGGCTGAAGCATAGGGGATGACACTCATCTCTTCTATATCTTTTGCCGTGGTCGGGCATTGAGCCGAGCTCAATCTCACACCTTGCAATACAGGCAAGAACCCCTTCTTGGACTGATCCATTTTGAACTTCTTCAAAATTTTATCAAGGTATGTGCTTTGTGAAAGACCTATGAGGCGTCTCGATCTATTTCTAT